GTCACTCTTGCAGCCAAGAATCGCTGCGGCCCCGGGATCCCCGTTTGCGATCGTTTTCTGGCTCATCCTTCCGGGTCCTTCTTTTTCATTCCCTGCCTGCAATAATTCAGAGGTCGTATTGACAGCCCACCCACCGAATGACGACACCCGCTGGAGCTTCGCGTCGCTTCACCACCACCACCACCACCGTCCTTGCTCCCAACCTCCAGCCGTTTGCCGCCGAATATCCTTCCCGTCGCCTGCTGCAGCTCCCATAGCTGCCTGCCACAGCAGCTTCTTGACGTCGCCGACATCCCGATTGCTTTCCTCTGCTTGCGACCGAGTCCTTCGAATTGCATCCATTCAAACGACACCTTGAACACCCCGCCCGCCTCCAGTCCGAGAACTCGGGACCCTCGTCGACATGGTCACCCGCAAGCCCGCTCCCGACGACACCTCCGTTGACACAAACACCGCGCCCCGGCTGCAAGATATGCGAAAGGAGCTCTGGAGTGCTACTACCGACTCGCCTTCGGACGTCGGCAGTGTGTGGGATGACGCTTCGCAACAGAAAGGCGCTGCGGCACTGAACCAACAACCCGCCCATCACGACATCCCGGATTCGTTGAAGCCCGGCGCTGGCGCTGCAATGAACGGCGCAGAGACGACCAATGGCGTCTGGGACGATGCCAACGGCGCCAGACCCCAGACAGCCGACAAGCCGAAGGATGCTGTTGATGTTCCCTTGGCGCTTCGTCCCGGTCCCCCGCAAGGTCCGCCATCACGGTCCGATACGAACCCGTTCAAGAGGAAGGACGTCCGCGCCGGCTCCGAAGAAACGACACCGCCGATGCCTCCAGCCCAGCCCTTGTCCCAGGTGAGCACCGGGGAAATTAGTAATAACCCGTGGCAGCCAGCGCTCGACCAGCATGCCCTCCAACGCGAGCAAAAGGCCGTCGCTTCCACCGTGCAACAGCCCCTCCGAGCTCAACCCAGCTCCGACGCCGAGCACGATGCGTGGTCCGTATCTCAAGACTCCAGGCTCCCGCCGATATCTACTTCGCCAGCGTTAATGTCCTTGCCTTCGGAACCCGCATCGCCGGCCTGGGACGATCTCCCCGAGAACCAGTCCAAACTGCCAGTGCAACCCCCGCCAGCGCCGAAAGAGGTCACAAACGAAGTCACCGACGAGCAGCACGCCTGGGATGACCTTGGTGCACAGAACAAGGGCAAGGGAAAGGCTCCTGCTCCCGTCGCAGCTGCGGCTGTCTTCGAAGATGGTCCAATCGACGACTGGAACCTCGTCGACGCTCCCGCACCGGCGTCGGCTCCTCCTTCGAAACCTGTCGAGGCGGCCACACCGAAGCCGCAATCAAACGAAAAGCTAATCGACACAGATGAGCAGGAGCCTGCAGAAAAGGCTCCTCCTGCACTACCCCCAAGGAATGACGAGGAACACCCACCACGCCAGCCACCTCGCCCAGTCGACGGCAAATCTGAAACGTATCAGATCAAGAACATCAACTGGTTCGATCACAGTGCCGAGAAGAATCCGCGAACGTCTCCCATCCTGGTCCAGAATGCCAATGGCCCTTGTCCGCTCGTAGCTCTGGTGAACGCGCTGACCCTCACCACCCCGGCGTCAGTATCAGACACGGCGCTTGTGCAGGTACTCCGCTCGCGTGAACAGATCAGCCTGGGCTACCTGCTTGACGCGGTATTCGATGAGCTCATGTCGGAGAGAAGAACCCATGAAGACACCTCCCTTCCCGATGTCTCCGAGCTGTACGGTTTTCTCAAGGGGCTGCACACCGGGATGAACGTGAATCCTCGCTTCATACCCACTCCCGAGGTCGTCAAGGCTTTCAAGCGCACTTCTCTCACCCACCTCCACCCAACTGAGCGCGACGATCTGATCCCTGGCACGTTTGAGGACACCACCGAAATGGCGCTCTATGCTGCATTCGCCATCCCATTAATCCACGGTTGGCTACCACCCAAATCTGATCCAGCGTATGGCGCATTTGAGCGCCAGGCTGCCTCGTTTGAAGACGTTCAAACGCTGCTATTCCTTGACGAAGAGCTGCAAGAGAAGCTTGGCTCATTAACAGAAGAGGAAGAGCAAGTGTACTCGGATATACAGTACATCAAGGCGTTCCTGGAGTCGTCTGCTACCCAGCTTACGCCCTGTGGCTTAGACGTAATTACAAAAGCCATGAAGCCTGGATCTGTGGCCATTCTGTTCCGAAACGACCACTTTTCCACATTGTATCGGCACCCATCGACCCAGCAACTTCTCGTCCTCGTCACAGATGCAGGCTATGTCTCGCACGACGAGATTGTCTGGGAGTCCCTTGCAGATGTGAATGGCGAGCGGACCGAATACTACTCCGGGGATTTCCGCATCGTTGGTGGCCAGCAGGCTCAGAGCACCTCTCGTGGACCGCAGGTCGGGGGGCAACGCAGCCAGGGACGGCCGACCATCAACACCAACCACAGCAACGCAAGCGATTGGACTACGGTACAAGGCCGCGGCCGACGGAAGAATCTTGATGCGCCAGCAGCTGACGAAACCCCTTTGTCGCCGAACCATGAACAGGAGGATCGGGATCTTGCACTCGCGCTTCAGCTTCAGGAGGAGGAAGAGCAGCGGCATCGTGCGGAGCAAGCGGCGCGTCGGAGAGAGAGTCAGCTTAGCGAGCAGTTTATCGAACAGCAAGCTCGTGTCCAGCAAGGGCCCACAACGAGGCGCGCGGCCACGAGGGCGGCCGTCCGCGGAGGAGTGAATCGAAGCACGAGCAACGTAGCGTCATCGCAGGGCAGCCGGCGCAACTCGAACGGCAACACGTCTATACCGCCGACTTCGGGTCGTCAGCCAGGTCAACCGCCGCAAATGATCCGACCACTCGTTCCTCCAACAGTTCCTGTACGTCGACAGGGGGTGAATCGACCGGCCGACGAGGGACTGGAGGACGCACCGCCTACTTATGAGCAGGCACAGGCGGCTGCCAAGTACGAGCCACCACCTGGCCACCCGCACCACCACGCCAGCAGCCCGGTGGCCGGACGACAAGGAAGTGGCGCTGGTCCGTCGTTCCCGGCCGGTCGGCCGGTTATGGGCGGTGGACGAGGCCGGGTGATGGGCCCCGGAGGCGTGGTGGGAAGTTCGTCGGGCGGAAGGGAACGGGACTGCATCGTTATGTGAAGGAAAAGCGCCACAGGCACTCATGAATGGAGGCGTTTTGGTGTCATTCATATTTGCGTGGGCATTGGCACCTCGCAATTCTCACGCGAGCTGCAAGCCCCGTTTTGTACAAACACAATTCCCTCAGCGGGCGGCGTTGGATTCCATGGATTAGGAACTACAGTCATGAATTGAAGAGGTTATGAATAGCATGCGTTGATTTGCTCTGCTCCATCGGAGTGACGGGATCGTCCTGCGGGATTCGATGCAGGGGGGAGCTTTGCGGAAAGCTCCCGATTTGAGGGGCACGCGAACGGGACCCCACCTTCTCTTAGCAGGATAGGAAGGCGGTCGGGGGCATGCAGGGGTCGAGAGCGTAATGTTTGTTGCATCGTCCCATGTTTTTGCCGGAGCTTCTGCTCAATTCCCACCGCGTCATTGACTCCGCGGCGGGGAAGCGCAACACCGGGGATCCAAACCAAGCTCAGTTCCGCCCTTCAAGCCCTGATTCCCATTGCATTTCGACAGGCGACGGAGACATAATCTTAATATCGTTCAATTGGCACGAACCGCAAGCAGCAGCAGCAGCAGCAGCAGCCATGGCCATCGTGGAAGGGTGGCTTCCTCCCACGCGGGAGAACTGGCAGCTTCTCTCGACGGTGTGGCAGATTTCCTACCCGATCGTACGTTTCCACCTTCCGCCCGTTTTACATTCTAGGTCCATGGAAAGTGGAACGCATGGTCTGTTGAAAGAGGGGACACAACTGGCTAACGAGAGGTCGGTGACCTGCAGATCGGCTCGATGCAGTACCTCATCTCGTGGTACGGCATGGGCAAGACGTCCGTCGTCAGCAGGCTCAACATACCCGGGCGCGTCGCGTGGTTCCTGATGGAGGCGCCGGGGTTCACGACGTTGCTGTACATCATGTTCACGCTGCCGGGAAAGATGGGCGTTGAGGACCTGCCGTGGCAGAACAAGGTCCTCGCTGGGCTGTTTGTATGTTCTTTTCTCTATCTTCCTCCCTCTTACCCACGCTTGACTGACGATGTGGGAAATCTACAGGTTATACACTACTGCTACCGCGCCGTGCTCTACCCCATCATCCAGCCCTCCATGTCGCCCATCCACCCGGCCGTCGCCTTCTCTGCGCTGGGCTTCCAGCTGTGCAATGCCACCTGCATCGGCGGCTGGCTCGCCGCCTACGGCCCCACGACCCCGGCCGCGTGGGAGCGGCAGCTCGGCGCGTTCGGGGTCGCGCAGTTCGTGGCCGGGATCGGGCTGTTCTACGTCGGGCTCGTGGGGAACTACTTCCACGACGAAGAGCTGCGGGAGATCCGCCGCGCGGAGATGCGGCGGCAGGAGCGCATTGTCAAGGAGCAGAGGGCCAAGGGTGTGGAGGGGAAGGTGAGCGTGGACAAGCATTACCGGCTGCCGGACGCGCTGCTGTTCCGGTACGTGCTGTTCCCGCATTACTTCCTGGAGTGGGTGGAGTGGTTTGGGTGGTGGATGGCGAGCGGGTGGGGGATGCCCGGGCGGGCGTTCTTTGTGAACGAGGTGACGGCGATGTTGCCGCGGGCGAGGAGCGGGAGGGGGTGGTATGTGGAGAGGTTTGGGGAGGAGAAGGTTGGGAAGAGGTGGGTTATTGTGCCGGGTGTTTATTGAAGGTGGACAGGGTTGGGATGAACGTTCGCCTTGCGTTGCCGTTTAATTCATGCCAATGGAGGATGGAAATCTGTATTGCTAGTGTGTACCGCTAGTAACAACATCACATAGAAAACCAACACCTCGTCTCGTGTTTTGACTGCAACGGCCGCAGGGCGATATACTCTTGCCCAGTTATGCGGCAGGTGTCTGTTCCTCGGCGGGGGTCTGCTCCTTCAACGGCTTGCGTCCATACGCGCAGTATCTGCAAAAGAGGGAAAAAGGGGTCAGTTTCAGTACGCAGTATCACACAAACCGCGCTCCTCAGGCGCGCGCGAGAAAGAGACAAGAACTCACATATTCCAGAACGCATGCGCCTTCTTCTCCTTACGCTCCCTCCTCACCTCGGCGCAGAACACCAGCACCTCCTCGCGCGTCCAGCCCAGCACGCGCGTGAAGAGCGCCAGGGCCGAGGCCTCGACGGACTCGAGCCCGTTCTCGTACGTCCAGTACCCGAGCTCGCGCAGGTGCGGATCCCGGGGCCACTCGTGCAGCGGCCACACGCGGCGCTCCTCGACGACGGCCTCGAAGCCCGCGTCGCGCAGCAGCTGCGCGAAGCGCGCGGGCACGGTGACGGGGCGGCCCATCTTGGCGCAGGCCTCCATGAGGAGCGAGGACCACCGCGCGAGGGCTGAGTCAGGGGCCAGCGTGCCGTCCTGGCAGTCGAGGGGGAAGCTGTTGTCGACGAGCTCGATGTAGCCGCCTGGTTCGAGGTTGCTGTTTGCGTTGTTGGTTTTGGAGGCGTGGAATGGGAAAACAAAAAGGGATGTGGAGAGGCCTTACTCGTAAGCTTGTTTGAGCATCTTCTCCCAGCTTGCGAAGCAGGAGTTCATCTGCCGGACGAAGATGAAGTCGAACGGGATGGTCCAGGTCCATTCCTTCTCGATGTCGTCGATTTCAAAGCTGCAGTTGGCGGGGACGCTGTGGAGAACAGAGGAGTCAGAATCGTGGTAGACACGTCCGCAGTTTGAAAGGCGCCTTGCTTACTAGCCGGGCTGGATGGGGCTCAGGTCAACGCCAATGACCTAAGAGAGGGGTGAGTGCTTGTGAGCCATGGGTTGAAGAGAAGTTTGTGGCGTGTCAAACCGTAGCTTCAGGGTGGTCATCCGCTGTTATTTTGTCAGCTGGACAGGCGACTGGGTCTTGATTCTGACAACAACCTACCAAACTCGATTGCCCAGATACCCGTGCCCGTTCCCAAGTCCAGGACCCGTTTGGCGGACTTGTTCTTGGGACATCTGCACAGATCGCCCTGCCAAGTCAGCTCCCATACTCGATGGCTCAGTTCTGAGGTTTATGTTAGCCGGGTTGTGCTTGGCGTCAACCCTTCGCTCTCTCCATGCTCACCTAGGCGTTCTTGTTCTTGCTAAAGCCATTTGGGGTTAGTCAACCGGACCACGTGGCTCAATCTCGGGGCGGACACACCTCGTCGTTGGGCAGAACATATGCTGGAAAACCAAGACAAAATTGTTAGTCTATGGAGCTCATGACTTCTCTCGTTCCGTTGTCTTTCTTGGCTTTCAAGTTACTTACTTCCATCACTGAGAGAGTGGTATCTACGGCCGTTTTCTCGCCGATGTTCACGAATGCTGGACCTCAAGGATGCGAGGGACGAGCCGGTCTGAGACGATTGCTGTTGTCAGACAAGCCCCAGCACGGCGTGGAGATATCACCACAGCTTACACTGTCCGACTCGGATGCCGTTTCAGAGCGATTATCATCGTTCGCCTGGTTATCGCGATGTTGACGTTAGCGAAGGAAGGTGTGGGCAGACCGACATGGTTCAACTGACAGGCTCCAAAGGCGTCAAGTCCAGCGCCTCGGCCATCTTCACCACTAATTCGCAGCAGTCAGTCTGATCAAGACGAGCTCAGTACGTCAAGCCAGGCAGGTCGCTGAAGAAGTTCGGCCGCGAGGAGGGGTAAGAAACGCGATTGAGATGGGTGTGCCCATTATATTTCGGAGGGAGAGTTCCCATTGCAAGGATACCGGCCAGCCGTCCAGCGGCGCCACCCCGCTCGTGTACAGGGGCGCGATGGTGGTTGTGGTTGGACTGCGCCGCATGCATGCGGGGTGTTCCAACGTCTCTAAGCATCTTCAGCCGGGCCGGGAGGAAAGGGGGGCCGAATGGCGCACGCAATTGGGCCCTTATCTAAGCGCCGTTGAATCGAAGGCGAACAAACAGCCAAGATGGGGATAGCTCGATGGGGGCCGTCTGCGCTCGTTGTCACCTCATGTTGGTTCATCCGGTGGCCCCGAGACTCTCGGTTCCCCGGGTGGAGTACGGATGCCGTCGGTCCCACTCTGTCGGCCCGCCGGCTTGGATCCAATGTGAACGGGCCTCCTCAACTCCTGCAAAAGCTTTTTTGAACTCGTCTTGCTGAGAGCTTTGCAGTTCTAAGCGGCGGATTTCCTGATACTAGCATTACTATCAATATACCAAAAAAAAAAGTAGATGTAGAATCAGACGTTAATCAACACAGGCTACTGCTGGCCAATCTAATACCCTACTCGCTGTGACCAGCGTCTTCATAGCTGTGCACATGCGCAGCGCCGTCTGACGAGATTCTGCGGTATTATCTGAAAGGGTGATTTTCTGGCTGGGAAGTTGCGCCTCAAATTCTCGGCGTCTCAGCATCTCACTAGATAGTCTTCCAAGGTCAGTATTTAAAAGCGCAGCAGATATTTCTAACTAAAAATGACGTTAATTTCAGGCCCAAGTAAAGATATGTCCCAAAGTCAACTACAGTTCGAGTATCGCTGGCGAAGACATGGGATCAAGATGTTAGCGTATCGGGCAAGAAGCCTTCGCTGGTCTGTCGCATGGGAGGAAGTAGATGTCAATTGTCAGCTGGCGTCCGGTGGAAGGAGTACGCGAGTTCGTGTACCATCAGTACCGGTATTCAAGCAGTGCGCAGTATCACCATGTGATGGACTCTGTTTTGACAGCTAAGGCACATATCATTGGCGGCTCGAGCATTGACGTTGGAATCAACTTCGTAGGTTTTGCGCGGCGGTTTGTCAGTTTTTCGAGTTTATTGTCTGGTCTTAAGCATCCCAGAAATATATTATGAGTTTTGCTATCTGGTTGTTCCTAGCTATCCGGGCGGGTAGTAAGTATCGACGGTAATAGGGAATAATCACGAAGACGATAGTAATAACAAGGACGACAGGGACGACAGGGACGACGCCAGATAGCAAGACTCTGTATCATAACAGCAAATGGAATCAATCGAACGACCGCTGCATGCTCAGACTTGCACCGGGCCACTTAAGTGGGCGACCGCAACCTGAGGCGCTGGTTGCTCGTTGTGGTCGGGGAACAATCTGTTTGTTAGATCTCCACGACGTTTTCTTTTTCCTCATGTCGGCGCCGCCGCTTTGATTCGGCCACGCGCAGGATTGTGGGGATTTCATCAAAAAGACGCCCACTCGACGTCTCAAAATGGCCACGGACATAGCTGGGTCTGGCAGATGGCCAAGATCTCGGGGCTGCCTGCCGGCGGGGAAAGCTGCACCCAATTTGTTTTCTTGCTTTTCTCATCCCGACACGTCCAGATGTGCTTACTTTTCGAGTCTCAGTTCTTCGCGAACGAAAAGAACCCCACTCACACATCTCAGTTGTCACTTTTCAATTCAGTATTTCATCTGAGGTTAGCTGACATTTTGTTTTTCGCTAGGTACCAAGAATTTGCTTCTTCCCATCAAATTCATTGCCCCTCACATCCCAAGCGGGGGCGATGTGAAGATGGTCCTGCAAGACGAGCCACTCATGTTGGGCGCAAACGCTCTCATTCCATTTCAGAACTGGAATGCAGCTATGTATCCACCTGCAAATGCCGTTTGCTTGTCAAATTCCTGTCAGCGCGGAAATTCCCCCGGTCTCACGCCGTCACAAATGCTTGCTGTGGACCTACGCATTCCACTCGATTGCCGAGACACCCCTCCCAACATCGGCTTTTTCCATGAATAAATCAAATACGATCCCGGCCGAGACCGTCATACTCTCTCCCGAGTCCCCATTCCTACACCTCTCATTGTTGTTGTGGTTTCCGCGGGCTTGGGTCGTCGCCAACGACGAGCAGATGGCTTCCTCCGACCCCGAGTATATGGCCGATGCGCCAGACGGCCAGGGTCGATTCGATGCCGGGACCATTACGACGGGCGCGTTGGTCCTGGGCGGCGTTCTTACGTCGATTTCGGTCATATTTGTCGGGCTGCGGATATTTACGAGGCTATCTCTGGTCAAGAGGTCGCTCGGTGCCGACGATTGTAAGTCTTGGGGCCGGTGAATGACGCCCGTCTTTGCCAAGGCTAACACTTGGCTACCAGACTTTATTGCCGTCTCTCTTTCACTTGCTATTGTATTCTACGGCTTGTCGATTGAATGTGGGTGACCCGATAGCGATTTTGCTGTGCGTTGAGATCTGACCGTTTAGTATGCGAATTGGGCGTCGGTGTTCACCTCTGGCAGGTTAGGCGGGCGGATTACTCGCCTTGGTTTCTACTCGTGAGTTAGCGTTCCCAGCCAACCTCGAACAGGGGCATTTGTCGACTGACTTGTAGCCATGCAGTACAGCTTGATAGCAATAGCCGTCTACTCGCTCAGCGTCACAACAGCCAAGATGTCGCTGCTCGTTCTCTACCTTCGTCTCTCACCAGACCGTGTATTCAGAATAGTGGTGATAACCTTCATCGGTTTCACCACAGCATACGCCATCTCTTACCTACTTTTAATATTGCTCAGTTGCAGACCGATCCAGGCATCATGGGATCTCTCTGCCAGAAAAGGTGCAACGTGCATTAGCAAAGACACGTTGTATCTTGTCCTCGCCGCAACGAACATCATCATGGACATTGTATGCCTCATTCTCCCCCTCAAGATCATCATCCCTCTGCAGATGCCAAAGCGCCAAAAGTGGTCCCTCATCGCGTTGTTCGCAACCGGTGGCTTGTAAGTCATCGCAACCCCCTGGCCCGACCGCTCTAACCCGCCCCCAGCGTCTGCCTCTGCGCCATTCGACGGACAATCCTCCTCCCGCCCCTATTCCAAAGCAAGGACTTCACCCGCGACGTCGAGAAGCAGCTCAACTGGGCCTCCGTCGAGGTCAACGCCGGCATCATCTGCGCGTCCGTCCCCGCGCTGAAGCCCTTCTTCATGCGGTACTTGCCTATGTTCGTGCACTCGCACATCACCGGCTCGAGCAAGAAGTCGAACGCCAACTACCAGAACTACCAGACGTCGATGCCCTACTCGACGACGGTGGAGAACAACAGGAAGCGGCGGAACGTGCAGTCGGAGGCGTACGAGCTGCACTCGCACGACGACCTGTCGCTGTCGTCGCACGAGATGCCGAAGGCCGGGTCGGATGAGGACGTTACGAAGCTTTGGTCTGGGAGTGCGTTCCGGAATGACCGTACGAGCCAGTTGTTGACTACTATCGAATCCAAGACGATGGATATGGATGCAAATAGCATCGATAGTGCGGGGGAGATCATGCCAGCTGAGGGAAGCAGCACGGGGCAGGGGTCGCAGGGGCCTAGGAGGATGGCGAGCTTTCATGGTATCACGGTCACGACGGAACTTGAAACCAAGGTTGACTATGAGAAGACCTGATCTAATATCGGGGAGTAAGGAAGCCGTTTGGATGCGGATTCAGCATTCAGGACATATATCTGCGTTTAACGTATAGATTTTCCCTTTGTCTATGTCTCTTTTCAACATTATGGAGCGATTCCCTGATTGTATTGTATAGGCTCCAGCGATACCTAAAGCCACTTCTTACTTGTCCTTTAAGTTTAGGACGTCTCTCAAATCCTTGATTTCTGTGTCTGGTCGCGTCGCAACTGGCTTCGACTTTCTATTTCCGTACTTCCACTCCTTTCTCAAACCCCTTGGTTTTCCCTCCAACGCGTCGGCAATATACTCTCCAATGATAGGAAACATCTTGAACGCATGGCCCGAGTCGCCAGTCCCCAATAGGAGGGATGGATGCTTGGGGTGGTTGTCGATCAGCCAGTGGGCGTCCGGCGAGTCGGTGCACCAACACACTCTCGCGCCCAGAAGCGGTCGCCCCGAGAACTGCGGCATCACCACGTCGATGAAGCGATTGATGGCTTTGGCAGCTTCGTCTGGAATCCCGTCTTCGGGATGCGTGCTCGCGTATCGGGGGATGGAGTACTGTTCGACGTTGCCAGACGGATCCGTGTACGTACCGAGGCGGTATTGGTAACCTGGGTTATTGTCGCAAATCTTCATCCATCCTGTGGCCATGTCAGATGCGAGTCATTCTCTACAAGGTGGCATAGCTCACTAGTCTGAGGATCGGGCTCAAAGGTAAAGCCCAACTCAAAGTTGTCGACAACCGGAATGCCCTTCCACTTGGGAACCTCTTCTTCTGTGAGCTCAACGTGGGCCAGAGTCCAACACTTAGTCCACAGCTCCTGTGACAACTCGGGCAGCACTTCCGGAGACGCAGCGCCCGTGCACAAGATGTATCGATCTCCGCGAACGATGTCGCCCGACGCAACCTTGATGCCGTCCAGTCTACCAGATCCATCGAGATGAAGTCCAGTCATCGTGCCTTGAGCGCCCGAGATGAACTTAACCCCAAGATCTAAGGCTTCTTTTCCCCACTTCTCGAGAGACTTTCTCGAGTGCGCCCATCCTCCCTGGCTGTTCCACAGGCCCTTCCAGTCCTCGATTCCGTGTGCGGTGGCAAGTTGAGGCACAAGCTTGATGATTTGGTCTTTGCTTTCGACAAATTCAAGGCTGCCAGATTGGCCGGCTCTTTTCAAGTTCTCGTAGGATTCTTTGAGGTGCTTTTC